ATTTTGATTAAATTGAAGCATGAAGAGAAAGACTTGAAAGTTGGAATTTTTGAAAACACCTCTTCCAACATTAAAATCTTTCTTTGCACTTCAATTTAGTCAAAAGGTTAATATATAATAAATCTCATCAATTTTATTGCCAATATTGTTACCATTTTGTTCACTTTTATATATATATATATGGCCTGATGATTATGTTTAGCATGAAACAGACTGTTGCCTCTGGGTATTGAAATCAATGTCCACTTTTATATTTACATAAGCTCTATCTCCGATATTGTGCACTTTAACCCATAATATAGCATACCTGATAGATATTATATATATATATATATATATAGGTTTTATTGAGAATGACTGAGAAGGCACTGTGATTAAACTTTTTATTATATTTTTCATTCATTCATTCATAGAAGTGATTTCTTTTTGGGACATAGAGTGTGTAAGAACTGTCCAAATGATCTGTGGATCCAAGAACATTTAGCAAATCTATTAGCCATTATCAAGGATGTTGTTTTTTAGTTTGTCTAGAACTAGGAATGTTTCAATTTCCAAACACAGTCAGCACATTGTGGCCATGTTCATAATTGATATTATTGAGAGATGGTTTCTTATTTTTATTAACACTTCCATTATTTATATCAGTTTTCTGAATTTAGATGAGTGTATAATGTTATGTTTTCTATGTTTCATTCCTTCAGGAACTTAGAATGTCGATATTTATTATGAAATGCCCATATTGGTATATGCATAGAAAATAAAAATCTGTGTTTGTATATATAGACAGTCATTTTCTCAACCAATACTTTATTTCTGTCTACAAATCCAGGGTTTTATTCATAAATTTCTAGATTATACTTTTGATAAAGTTCCTGCTGGAATAAACATTTTGTGAAATCAAATAATTGGTAATGGGACCAATATCAACCCTACTAAAGAAGAAAACATAAAAAGAGAAAAATTAAAAAAAGAAAAGTCAAACAAAAACCTGAAGTGCTCAATGAGTGTGTGTGTATATAAAAATTCAGATATAAATAAAATATATCTGAAAAGACAATATAAATAAAAGACAAAAGGAAAATTTTTCTTTACCAATATATTTCATCACTTGAAGGAAACAATAAAATCTCCACATTTACCTTGACAAAGTTCCTCAGAGAACAAAGCACATTGATAAAGAAAAGTTTTCCTTTTGTCTTTTATTCACATATATATTAAGATAAATAGATAGATAAAAAAACAACAAGAGCAAAATCTTTTATACCAATAAAATTTGTTCCTTGAAGAAATTTATCTCGCTAAGTATAGAAATTTTATTTAGTAACGTAATAGTTACTAAATAATCTAATAATGTTGTGGGGTGCAGCATTTAGCATAACAATGAAATCATTTCACACTAATGAACTTGGAAAAAGTATGAATACTTTTGTACTCTGTGTTATCCCACCTCTATATTATAAAATATCACTAATATACTATGATTTCTAATACAAAAGAAGATGTGTGAATGAATACTGACATAAAATCAACTCCCTTATAACTACCAGACAAATGCAGTATAGCATTTATCTTATAATCAATTTTGAAATGATCCATTTATACATTGGTACATCAATATGTTCATAACTTCATGATCAAAAATAGCACTTATTTTACCTAACAAATATTTATTTTTCAACATTTTCTCTTTTTATATCAATGAACTTTACAATACTTGTTCATTAATCTCCTAGTTCAAATATTATACAATAAAAAATTCAGATCAAAATTCAGCTAATAACTGTATCAAGCTATGAACTTATTGATGAACCCTCATGTATAATTTGTTGGCTTTTGACCCACATCCCAAATAAAGAAGTACTACTTACATCAGACTGTCAGAAAGGTCAGAAGGGAAAAAAGACAAAATTGATTGATATAACCTATTAGAGAATGTTTTTATGCTTAAAATGTCATCTTACTGGCCAGCATCTCTGATATAGATGAGGTGATGTTGAAAAGTTCTTGGCCAAACTAAGATTCATTTTTTTTTTTAAATTCTGATTTTTGAATAGAGGCAATAAAAAACAAAAAAAAAACACTTGGCACATGCTCATATGTCAATATAAGATCCCCACTTTTTTCTCAAAAATATGGCTCCAAAATATAAAAAAAAGTCCTATATACAAATTTGAGTTATCTTATAGGTTAATATTTGCTCAGATGTTGTTGTACTGAACCTAACTTCATTGTCGGCCCCCACTCACATCCAAGTATTAGGATAATCATCCACTCTCCTTATTCCCTTTCTCTCCCTTGGTACAAGCGGTGGTGAAGATGAATGTGAATTAAAGAGAGTTTGATAAGACCGTTTGCATGAATTTGATTTTCATGGACAACTCTGTATGATGAAGAAGCCCACACACTTGGCCAGAAGCACCTCACTTACAGCTCAAATGGGATTGAGACAGGCGTTGGACTGTCAGATGATTGGTCTGTCAAGGTCTACCTTGTTTACGCCAGCCCAACTGATACTGTCCTCTTCTGCCAGTTTGGCTTTTGAGATCATGTAGATCTTGCATATTCTGCTCTTTGGTGGTTGGTTGCATTCCGTCTGGTCCTTCCTCGTTGACCTTACTACCATGGGTGACCCTACAGGAGTTGGAACTCCTGATCTCTTGGGATCACTGGGACAACTAACTTCATAATACTGTAATATTAAATATAAATAATAGTGAACTGTTATATTTTATCAAATATGGTATCATAAAAACCAAACTAGCATAAATTTCATAAAGTTTTAATAAGATACACATTGTGAAGTATGTTTGTTCTACAATTCTAATTAGTTCCAGTTAGTTATGGTAATTTCCCTGTGTATGCATGGACTCTCCCAGCTATAAATAGGAGCAGGTACTGCCTTTTGGTGAGGCAAGTTTCCAGTGGTCAGCTCTGACAGTAGGACAGAACATTCTTGCTGTAACAATCTTGTTTGTATATGTTTGTATTACTGTTTTTGTTAATATATTTGTTTAACTCAATTCCTCTCTTGTGTCTTTATTTCTGGCCCTAACAAGGTCACATTAAATACCATAAGCTCAAGGGCTAAATCCTTAATTATTCAGTGTTAAAACTAGACTGAAAAATCAATTGGATTTGGAATGAATGTAATGAAATACTAAAAGAATATTCCAGTAACAAACTAATCAGAGAGTTACATACCAATTACAATGAAATTTCAACCATGAGATTATTTGATCTTTGGAATTAGCTTACATTTCCTGTCAAAAATTTAAAAAAATAAGAGAACTTCATTCCTAAGTATCAATGTGTTTGAACAAAGTTAAAACTGCAGACTAAATCTTAAGTAGACACTTCTAAAATGTTTCTATAATAATGTTTTGCTTTGGTGAGATGAGGTGGGGTGTTAATTGATATCAGCAGTTGAACCAAGATGAACACCAATAAGACATCCAGAAATGGTAAGAGAACTTAAGCACATTACACCTCACAAATTGCAACTCTCTTGTTATGATAGTACACTATTTTTGATGTTATATGTGTAATCAAGTTCTATAAAAAACATCAAAAAGCAAGAGCATAAAAATGATTCTTGTCAAACCCTCTATTTGGTTCTTGAACATTAACTGTGACATCTTATTTTTATAAAAACACATTGTTCTGTTTTATTTATACCAAAATGCTAACAATAATGATATAGTATATTTCTTAAAAGAAAAAGTATCTTGTGTACTTTATTTTGAGTAATACTTTTCTTTTAATTATATATATATATATATATATATATATATATATATATATATATTATAATAATATTTTTTATTTAAAAATATGATTCCTTCACTACATAAGAGTTCTCATGTTTCAAAAACGAGAGCCAAAATATCCAAATAATTATTAAAATTAAGTTGGATTGTGGTGTTTAGTCTTAAAAATAAAAACAAAATACTAAGGAACCCCGGATTATGCACCAAAATGTTCCTTTCTATTTTCTGCATACCTAAAGGTTGTGAATATATATATATATATATATATATATATATATATATATATATATTCATTCATTCATTTTAATTTGATTATTTGTCAATGTTTTCAACAAGTATTTTAAATCCTTAACAAAGTATAATAAATAATGAATCTTTAACATCAAAAGGGAAATTGAAAAGACAAACTTTACAAAATTGTTTTGTTCAGCATATGATGAAAGAAGTAGCTGTATGACTGAAGATATGACTTTACCAAGCTGTTTAACCTTCTAAAATGTGAGATATATTCCTAGGATATAAGATGTTAATTTGACTCTTGTGGAGATTACATTTTTATTTCTAATTAGTACTACTTATTTTAATATGTAAAAATATCTCCTTGGCCTTATATGTATAGCTATCTGGGAAGTGTCATGACAGAGGACAGTAAGATGTATTGGGATGGCCAAGGATACAATCCAAAAGCTGGGCAGAGTATTGCGAGACAGGAGGATTTCTTTGGTAACAAAGAAAAGAATACTGAGCTGTTACGTGACATCTGTCCTTTTTTACAGCAGTGAATGTTAGACGATTTCCTCAAAGATGAAGAAGAGACTCGAGGCGACATAGATATGGTTCTACAGAAGGATGTTAAGGATATCATGGAGTGAGCATGTGAGCAACAATGAGGTCTTAGGCTGCAAACAAGGAGGCGGCTTATACTTAATATCAGGAAGAGGCAACTGAAGTTTCTGGGACACATAATGAGAAAGAAGTGCTTGGAGAATCTGATACTCACAGGTCAAATAGAGGGAAAGAGAGACAAAGGAAAACAACATACCTGGCAGCAAGTAGATGACAGAATGTGGTCTGGGTAAGGAAGCAGGGAGAAAGAACTTGTTGTGAGCTGCAAGGGATAGAGGGAGGTGGAGAGCCATTATCACCTATGTCCTGAAAGGACATGGCACATAAAAAGAAAGAAAAAGAGGTATCTTGTAGGTTAATGCTTACCCAAGCATCATATACAAAGGCTTCCCATACAACCACTGAAGTTAAGCAATGTTGAGCCTGGTCAGTATCTAGATGGGTGACCACATGGGAATAGCAGATGCTGAAATCTTGGATTTGCAGGTGGTATAATTGATAATGGCTTGGAATTGTTAATTAGGGATCCGAGTTCCAATTTCAGTTGGGTTTGTTATATTCACTTACATGTAAAATACCTTTAGGAAAGGTATGAATCCACCTTGTATCCCGCCAGTTACTATGTAAGACCTGTATAACTAAACGATTATTATTGCAAAAAATAAAATAAAATTGAGTACAAAATATTTAGATTTCAGCATTGATAAACAAAAACAACCAAACCAACAAGTATTTGTGTCATGTCTAATTCCATAAATGTAGTGATAGGGAGAACAGTGGAGTAATGGATAGCAGCTCAGATTAAGGAATCGGAGAGCCAACTTCGAATTCCAATCCAATCCAATCCATTACATTCACTTACATGCTAATACTCTTGGGAAAGATATGAATCCTCTTCTTCTCCCTCCAGAAATGGGTAAATAGCAGAACAAACCAGGTTCTATAGCCTTGGATGGCAACTGGTCTACTGCAGAAAGAAATGACAACCTACTGTGAGAAAAAATCTGCTTTGTCAGTCATGTATTGAAAGATACATGATCGCCTTGTGTATCATGCAATACTCTTGGGAAAGATATGAATCCTCTTCTTCTCCTTCCAGCAATGGGTAAATAGCAGGACAGACCAGGTTCTATAGCCTTGGATGGCAACTGTTCTACTGCAGAAAGAAATGACAACCTACTGTGAGAAAAAAATCTACCTCGTCAGTCATGTATTGAAAGATACATGATCACCTTGTGTATCACGCATGGCACATAACTGACTGATATTAAATGAAAATAGTGGTGGATCTTGTATAACATCAAATATGTTACTCAGCTTAGCTTGTCTCAAAAGTGGCATCAAACTCAAAATAAATCAGGCACACAACTTTGTTTTTCCACCCCTGTATACTTCAATCACTGCACACTGATCTGTATCAATCCTTTCTAAACATTAATCACTTTAATGTCTCCTTAAATAGACCATTATGTCAACACTGCTTACAAATATTCTTCATATCTTTATGCGTCACAATGTCAACCCTACCTACATTTCTCCTCTAACAAGTTCTAATTTTGAATACACACCCAATGTATACCCACCCAGATTCTTCATCATATAACACCTCCACATACATTGATCACCATATCCACATCTGCATCCTATAAAAACTGTAATGTACAGTGGTGTCCATTGAAATTTTTTCTAGTAGATAAAAACTTGAAAGGGCATAATGAACAACAAGAAAAAACAACAAATATATACATACCAATATATACATTCATTTTAAATATAGCAAATCATTTTATTTTGTCTGCAATGATACTGATAATATTAGCCATTTCTTTGTAAGGAAACATTTTGCATTCAATGACCAAATAGACAGTGCTACATTTGGTTGGAATTTATAAAATCTTTCTATCAACACCATTATTCAAGAAAACAGGTCTCTGGAGTCTGCTAACTTGTATTAATTTTTCCAGTATTGATGGGGCTTTTCTTCCTAATTGTTGTATTCTGGTGTTCTTTGTCACGAGATCAGTAGTCAACTTCTTCTACAACTTTTTTCTTCCTCCTGCCACTTGAGGTTTATGTCCTATTCTTTTTAATGGAGATCTTGATCTCATTTCATCTTCTTCCATGTCTAGTCACTCCCACTATTATCCATAGGCTTTGTCTTCTATTGCATTGTCCTGATCTGAAGAACTCATCCTTTCTTCATTGTCAAAGTCTTCTTCAATCATAATATCTTCTTCAATTCTGAGTCTTAATTGGTCAGAATGGGTCATAAGGCTTTTTCCTTTCTTTGATATAATGGCCATGTTATATCCCCTTTGCACAATGAAATTAGCTCTCAATGGACTTGCTAATTTGTCTTTCTTATACACCACTAATCTTTTGTTTGAAGTAATGTGGAATGTCAACATCTTGATTATATAATTATTGTTCAAGTTACATGTGCTATCCATTTTAGTTGTTGTTGCTGTTGAAAGTCCTCAAGTGATGTGGTTTCTATTATTTGGTACAGTACTTTTTGATTCTGCAGAGCCAGTTCACAGATTTTAGGAAGAATGGTCCTCACTAAGATCTACGGTCTTCACTGACTCAAATTTATTTTTAACCCCTGATCTTAGAAAGCCATACAGGGGACAGTTTATATATTTCTATATTTTTACCTCATGACAGCCAGTCACAGCTACATCTCAGTATTTATCTTATTTTAACTGCCAGTTATAGTTATAGCTCTGTATTTACTGCACTTAAACTGACAGTCAAAGTATTTATATACCTCAGTATTTATCTCATTTTAACTGCCAGTCACAACTACACTTATTTTAACTATTAGTTACAGTTATAGCTCTATATTTACTGCACTTTAACTGCCACAGTATTTATATACCTCAGTCTTTACTTCATTTTAACTGCCAGTCAGTATTTATTTACCTCAGTATTTACTTCATTAACAGCTAGTTAATCATATCTACTACTTGAATGTTAACCATATTATTAACCTTGTAAATCTGATACTTCCCTTTCAACTAAACTATTAATCTCCTTTAAATGATATAATGTCAGCTATGTCTTCATTTTCCCACTGAGATTACCAATTTATTTTTGTTCATAAGACACAGCATTGACAGTTTATTCTTTTTACAGGAGGAGCAAACTTACAACAGAGTAAAAGTCGGTGAGACTACTTTGCTAACTATGGCCCTAAAGCAGTGATTCTCAACATGGGTGGTAATGCCACCCCCTATCTTGTGAGCAATAGGAACTCTGAATGGGGTCAGTGAGGGTTCAGGAGTGATATTATTTTTAAAGGACCATAGCATGATTTAATCTTTTGTACCCTGACGAGAACAATCAAATTTGATATACACATTTGTTTATCTCTTTGTCTATCAAAGAATATGATAGACAAATTCTATATATCCAACTAATGATGGGTAATTGAGTAACAAATTGAAAAATATCTTGTGTTATGCATTTTGTTCTTCTATGTGCTGTGTCTCCCCAGGATTTAAGTGATTATGGCTCTCCACAATATCCTATCCTTTGTAGCTCTTAATAAATTTTGTCTTTTATTAATATCTCCTAAACCTTGTTCTACCATCCATTTACTTGTTAGGTAGGTTATGCATTGTTTTCCTCTGTCCATCTTGCCTTCAATATGTCCTATGAATATCAAATTTTCCAACCCCTATTTCCTTATTACATACTCTAAAAATTTAAACTTTCTCTTTCCAGTGTTAAGTTTAACTATATATCACACTAATATTGGGTAATTGAATGACAAAATAAAAAAATATGTTATGAATTTTGTCTTTTAAAATGACTTCTACAGGCTAAATAATGTTTTTTATCAATGGAATCACTTATATGTAGTGATAGGGAATGAAATACAACAAATGTTTCTTATAATTCTACATTGAGAGAATGCTGAGGATACAGGGACATTTGTTATATTTTATTCCCTTCTCCTACACACACACACACACGTGTATATATATATATATATATATATATATATATATATATATATATATATATATATACCACACATATATGATTCCATTAATATTTAATCTGTAGAAGACATTTTAAACAATAAAACTTGTAACATTTTCATTTTCTAATTTTTTATTTAACTACTTACTATTTGCCAATATATACATATATATATATATATATATATATATTAGACAAATTAAAAACATTTTGATGCAACTGCAACATGTGCATGGAGCAAAAACTAAAGTATGGCGATAAGTTTTTGCTGCATTAATTCTGCTCTATTTACCAGTGCAATTTTAACATGGCAGCCACCAGCTTGCTCAAATATTTTAAAAGGAGTAAAACAATATTTACAATTTAGTTTAGTTTGGCAGAAGCAAAACCACGTACAGAGAATCAGTCGAATTACTTGAGGAATGACCTGCAAGATCCTAAGCTTAGCCTAATATAACAAACTTCCAGTGTACCACTCAGTGAGGATCAAACTCATAACAACTGTGAATTAGTTTGCAAGTTTTTTTAATCTTTGCACTGCAGTTGGCATCTAATTAAATTCAGTATTATATGATTAAAATGTTGTTAATTTGATATAAAAATTTATCCCACAGATTTAATATAGCATCCCTTTGCCTTTTTTGTGAATATTTTCACAGTAATTGTTATGGTGAGCATTTCTCTTTGGTACCTCAGTTTCAAAAATTTAAGCATAATACTAGATTGGCAGCTAGGTGTTAATTTTACTGTTGAAATTGCTACTTTAATCTAAGAGTTTCTTCTCTCACACTTCTCACTTGTGGAAGTCCTTCCTAGCTTCCTGTCAACTAATATCTTCAAAAATTGAAATGCAATGTTAAATAGCATCCTTGAACCCTGTTCTTTTATAGTCCTCTCTGTTTCTTTCACTTTCTGTAAACCCTTACATCCTAGTGACTTTTATTACCTTGCTTGGTGAAGGGGGGGAGGTGAAATGATTCCGAAAGAAAAACATCTCAAAATTTGCATTCTGGGAAATACTAGTAATGATTCAAAGAGAATGAACAAAAAGTAGTTCAAGAAATGGGGCCAATAAAATTCATTAAGAAGCAAGCAATAAAAATCTTCCTGCAGGGCCTATGCAACAAATACAACTGAAAACAATTAACAGGTTACCATCAATTACTTGATGATGATATGTTACACACATTTCCAAAAATATCTGTTTTGGTCCAGATGCAAAAACTGAAGCATAACAATTTGGATGCTGAAGAATGATGTGGCATTGAAACATGAGACGACATTGGACAGGCAAGCAGGTTGCTGCCAAAGGAAGAAGATTGGAGTGATGCCAAAAACATCTGTGAAAATGCCTGCTGCATGGTTGGCAATAAAAGAGATAATGATAGCAGGTAACAACACTGCAAAAGTATTAGTAGTTGTAGTAGTAGTTGGTGGTGGTGGTAGTGGTCGTCTTCTTCAAAGCTTATTGGCTCTTTTTGC